CCAGGGGATTTTGATGGATATCCTCTCAAACAAACCCACCTTTATGACATAACCCCAGGCCACCATCCAAAATTTTGCGCTGCAAAGCATCGAACTGCTCAGCTTCTGTGGCCTCGTGAAGATCAGCTGTTCGAACCCCAAACCCGTCATCATGTAGCTGGAAAATCCCTATGAAAAATGGAGGTTTAGAGCTGGGAAATTCATCTATAGATATTCTATAAATATCTCTAAATGGATACTTAGATGGGATATAGATGGATAATGATGGATATCTATCATCTACTCTATTTTCATAGTATCTCTAATATTCTCTAAATGGATACAGTATTTCTTTGGGTTTGTCTGAAAACTACGGGAAACACTCCGACATCCGTGACATCCATAGAGGATTTTCTCATCAAATTGTCACACTTGTTGGGCAATAGCCAGTATAACCCCCGCACTAACCACCAACATCCACCAATCAATAAGATCCAATAAGGGGTTTAACACTGCTCACTTGCATTTGGAAGTAAAATTGCAACACATCTCAGATGTTCTCTTTAAATGGATTTCGATTGAGGTTTGCATCTTTCCATCCAGTAACTGCCTTTCCATTTGCCGTACCATGCCAGAAAATGCAGCACATGCCTTCGGTACCACTCAGCTGCGATGGGGTCAAGGGACCTTCCCAAGGATCAGGTACTGGTTCTTGGCATATACGATGTCCTCTAACTCCGACCAGGGTGTTGTACCGTCCTTCACAACCAGTGTGGCATGTTTCACCGATAGAGTCCGTTGGCGTTCGCGGTCAACAGAGATCCGCAACTGATCACTGGATGAAGAGACTTTTCAGAAATTGAATTGTCCAAATTGTCCAAAGGTCCTCCCTACTTTTTGATGAATCTTTCAGGTATGATGTTTTACGTCCATCAAATGACAGCTTTTCAGGTCTTCCCATCCCAGGTCTTCCCGACTCGTGGTGTTTTCCTCAACTTCTTCAGGCTGGCCGTTCAGGTAGAGCTGGGGAAATGCTCCTCCCACTCGCAGTACCACAGCCTGCTTGGTGGCTCATCCCACTTAGTAAGTGGGTTATAACCCCAGTTATAAATGGGATAAGTAGGGTTAATCCACTTATAACTAGGGTTATAACCCATTTACTAAGTGGGATGAGCCACCAAGTGGTTTGGAGGCAACCAACATGAACTGTGAAGTCCCACAACATAAACATCCGTTGCGCATCTCTGTTCTCTACCTATATAGCCATCTACAAAAAATGTTATTGTTCAACCTTGCGATCTGACAACACATTCGAATGTTTTCATGGATAGTTAATCCATCTTAATCCATGATAGACATGGGTATGGGTCAATACCTATAGATACATTTTTAGTGGGTTATTCACATCGATAAATCCCAGCTATTTTGGGGTTCACCAGGGGTACCAGGGTTTTGACCCATCCCCACATTAATCCATGTCAATCCAGATAGCTGGGGATGGTAATTATGGAGTTAATGGTAATTGATATTGGTTTTGGCCAAACCAATGGTTTGCATTGACATTGATAGTTACTCCATCTTAATCCATGTCAATCCAGATGGGTCGATGGCTTTCCATCTGATGGATTCTGAGGTCAGGACGATGTGAGTCCTTGGCGCCAGGGATCCAGGATCCCTGGGGGATCATTTTTCACATGAGCCAATCACACCATGTATACAAAGGTATAGGTGTATGTATATATAGCCTCGTCCCCGCTTCTGGAACCGCGCAAACCTGAATTAGGTTGGTAAAACTTGTCCATTCCGTGACGAAATTTCGTCGCGGAATGAACAAGTTCATTAGGGTCATTATCATCATCATCATTATCATTATCATCATCATCATCATCATGATAATGATGATGATGATGATGATGATGATGATAATGACCCTAATGAAACTTGTTAATTCCGCGACGAAATTTCGTCACGGAATGGACAAGTTTTACCAACCTAATTCAGGTTTGCGCGGTTCATGAACGTTAACATCCTGCCGCAAGGTCACATGAACGTTAACATCCCACCCCACCCCCCCCACCCCGCATGTGCGTAGCATCCACTGCTGCCGCAAGTTCACATGAACGTTAACATCCTGCCGCAAGGTCACATGAACGTTAACATCCCACCCCACCCCACCCCCCCCACCCCATGTGGTTCCAGAAGCGGGGACGAGCCTATATATACAATAGACATAGGTGTGTGTATATATTAGTAACTATATATAAGTATGATGTTATAATTATATTGTTTTTTTCCTTGAATGGGTATGTATAAAATATTATAAGATTATACAAGATTGGACAACCATAGTTAGAGGCCTTCTTGATAAAAGGTTTGGGAGTTTAGAAACCAATGTTCCAGCTCAACCCACTCTTCCCACCCTTTATTTAATATTGCCCACCATTGCACCCCAGTCAATATGATTCAGGATTCTAGCATGTAGAAGGTTTGAACATGTTTGAACTCGCTTGGTATGGCTACAATTTCTGGGAAAAAACGCATTCACGCATACAAACACGAATTCCGATTTCCGGAAGCCTCCATCAACTATCCCTGAAAAAAAGCCTCCTCCAAACATTCACCATGTTCCCCAGCATCTTTTCCACCAATTCCACTAATAAAACAAGACGCATGTAAACAGTTGTCATAATTTATCGTGTGATAGGGAAACTCTGAGTACAGCAGCTCAAATAGCGGATATGGACACCCGTTGCTGCAAACCGCCTCCGTTACCGGAGAGTAATATCAATATCATACATGTATATGTATATTATATATATATGTATGTATGTATGTATGTATATCTATCTATCTATCTATCTATATGTACACACACATATATATATATCTATCTATATGTACACACACATATATATATATATATATCTATGAGATTGTATATCGAATATATACTATATATATATTATTATATTATACTATACTATATTATATTATATATTATATCATATTATATTATATTATATTATATTATATATACCGTGAATCAAATTCAGCAAGGAGAATCTCCAAAACTTTGCATGCGCTTCCCCTGCTGTCGGAGGTGCCATTTCTCCCAGCGCGACTTGGCTTTGTACTCGGTGGTCACGGCTCCAAGCCCCGCAGGTTGACGGGTCCACAGCATCAAGCGACACTGGCGCGGTGACTGGGGTGACTGGGGAGATCTGGGGTGGGAGATCATGGAGATCTGAAGATTACCCTCTGGTAAACATACAAAAAGCTATTGAAAATTGTCATTTAGAGTGAGTTTTCCCATTAAAAATGATGATTTTCCATAGCTATGTTAGTTTACCAGAGGGTAGATGGCTCAGATTCTCAGAAACATCCACAATTTTGGCAGATGGCAGTGATGGACCAACCAGGACGCAGCGACGCAGCGCCTTGTCAATGTCATTCTTGCAGTGAAACTCCACTGCCCAGCTGCCATCCTGGAGCTGCTGTTGATGTCCCTCTGGAGATGACAAGCATCAAAAAAAACATAATTATTGGATTGGTCTAAGCGAAAATCTACAGGAAACCCATGGTTTTTACCATTGAATATGGGGGTTTACTGCAAATGTTCCCTTAAACAAATCCAATCCCCATAAATATCACACATCCGCATCCAACATGTTCCCAAATCCTGAAAAATCTCCGCATCAAATCATTACACAACTCCTCTTGCAGTGTTTGGTGTCCTCTGGATCATGCATGGCATAGCCGCTGCTACGGAAGACAAAGTACCAGGTCTGATCCCTGCCAGTGGGTCAGGATGTTTTTTTCAACCCTGAAATTGCACATGTTGGCCATTCTTACCATCAGCATCAATCATTCTATGATGTCGTTCATCCTCAATCCATTGGGAAAATATGCTTTGATCTGATATGCAATCTACTTCAGCAGCCCAACTCGGTCTTCCCCAGAAGCATTTGTCAGAGTCTGAAAGAACAAGAGCCGGATTGTCGGAGATGTTATGACTGTTATGAAATTCCTCAGTCTTGAAATTCCACATTCCATCCTTCTTGTTGTTGTTGTTGTTCATCTTTAGTTTCCTATTTTTTGCACCTTCTTTCCGGTTTGGTTCTTGAAATCTCCCATCTTCATCCATCTTCGCCATTTGTCGCCGCCTCTGAAAGGTGGGTTTGATCCAGCACATGTAGGTAGAAGTCCTAGGGAACCAGTCCTGATATCCTTTGATCTCGATGCCTGTGTTCACCTGGGCACCGCTTCGGGTGGTGTTTTGTGGCTTGGGAATATGGGATACAAATGGATAGAATATAGACTTATGGATCTTATGTTGCCTTCACAACATGAAAACATATGAAAACCATCCCAACATTTGTGTCTAAGCCATGTCTAATATGTCTACAATTGTCTACATGAGAGTTGTCTTTTAAATGAGAATACCAACCAACATCCGCACAAACCGTGAAAGTAAAGTGAGGATGATAAACCTGTAGACATGGAGGGTGCCCATGGGCCAAGGTACTCCGGTGAGGTCTGCGGCTGTACCACCAGCTCGTGATAAGGCTGAAGCCTACTCCATTGGAACTGCCACAAAAAGCAAAAAAAACAAACAGCAACGACTTCCAGGCCTGAAATTTGCTAACTTCCAGGCCCTTGGGAATGATGTCGCTTTCATTGCCTGGTAGATCTTCAAAAACCCATGGCGCAAATCGATGTTTTTTTTTTCCACTGTAGTGGCGATAAACCAATGAAAGGGATCGAAAACGCGTCTTCAACTTCCACATTTACGGAGCTGATGGGCTCCACTTTGCTCATGAGAAGGGTTGCAACGATTCAAATGCACTGGACTCCTTTTGAAAACGCCTCGCCTGCTGTGTTGTTCCTGGAGTATCTCAGGGCAAGTTGCAAAATCAACTGAAGGATTGGAATCAAATCTGTCTATCTATCGTGGTTCTTGCACATGTTCCAAGTCATTCAAGTGCCTCCTCAAGCTGCAAATCCCTTCTATTTTTTTTCTTGCCACACTTAAATGCCACACCCGCGACCAAAAGCCTCTCGGGTGTGATCAGTCGACCCTCAACCAACATTGGTTTTCGATCGCTGGGTCAAAATTGGCCAGTCATTGAAACGACTGGCGCTTTGCCAATGCTTCACACGACCATCTCTTCGGGGTTGGAGGTCTTGGGCAAACCAGCCACGGGGCCACCGTTGATGATGGGGTTCTCGATCTGACACTGGTTGGTGCCACGCTCGATCTTGAAGTAACCATGGTCACCCCAGTCTTCATTCCAGCTGTTGGCCACCAACCAGTAAGGGGTTCCATTCTCAGTACCCCAGCCCATGATCTTAATGGCATGGCCTCCCAGCATGGGGTCCTTGAAGAATAGACCTGCCTTGTAGACACCGGACTTGTAGGAAAGGAAACCTGATTATGTGGTGTCAACCCATACCCCTCAAAATGCTAGCCAATTGCGGATAATCACCCCAAGTGGATCCAAATGGAACGGAAAAACGCATGTTTCAAACAAAACACTTTGAAACCACCAAGAAAAGAAACTTTGATGCACGAAGAACATGCCGGTGATTGGCCCATTCTGGTAAATTTCCTGCATCATGGCATCACTGCACTTGCTGTCACCCTGTTGGCACACGCTGTAGCCACCGCTGCCGTAATGCTTGCTGGATCGCCAGTTGGCCCCGTTGTCCACGCACTTGCGCGCGCACTTGGGGGTGGCCTCGCTACTAGTGCAGTTGGGGTACTTCGCTGAGGTGCTGTGATGGGCGCAAGGCTTCAACTGATAGGAATAGCACATGGATTTGTCACCATAATTGCCGCCATCCACAATTCCGAAGGTCTTGTAGTAGGTGTACACCTGGCGTTTGAGCCACTTTCTGAAAAACAATACGATCATGCCCCCTTTTCTGGGTGGAAAACTCGTTTTGGATCATAAACAAAATCCTCCTCCTCCTGCAGAAACAAGTAGAAGACTCATCTTACAGAGCCAGGCGCTGTTGAAGGGATGCCCCCATTGCAGCCCATGTCCCCCATGTTATCACAGGAAGTCACGTCTTCCGCGGAGAGGTGGATCTTCTTCTGCCCTTTGCTGGCAATGCAAATGCGGTCCGTCATGGCCTCCACTGATCCGAATGCCCAGCAAGATCCGCAATCTGCCTGGCGTGCCGGAAAACGCATGGCATCAAATGGCTAGATGACATAACCGAAGGAAGTTTAGAAGTCAAACTTTCGATGGCATAGACAGATGGAAAAGCAGACATGGGAAGAGAAGAGAAGAGAAGAGAAGAGACGGGACGGGACGGGAAGGGAAGGGAAGAGAAAAGAAGGGAAGGTAAGAGAAAAGAAGGGAAGGGAAGAGAAAAGAAGGGAAGGGAAGGGAAGGGAAGGGAAGGGAAGGGAAGGTAAGGTAAGAGAAAGGAAGGGAAGGGAAGGGAAGGGAAGGGGAAGAGAAGGGGAAGAGGAAGGGGAAGAGGAAGGGGAAGAGGAAGGGGAAGAGGAAGGGGAAGAGGAAGGGGAAGAGGAAGGGGAAGAGGAAGGGGAAGAGGAAGCGGAAGAGGAAGCGGAAGAGGAAGCGGAAGAGGAAAGGGAAGAGGAAGCGGAAGAGGAAGAGGTAGAGGAAGAGGTAGAGGAAGAAGAAGAGGAAGAGGAAGAGGAAGAGAAGAGAAGAGAAGAAGAAAGCAGATCCAGGTGCGCGAAAAGGTGGGAAAATCGCGTTTCACTGTGTTTTGCTAATGATTTGTGGCTCCGGAGGGTCGAAAAGTAGGCTCGCTAAAGCGGCGGGTGCGGGGCCATGTGGCCAAATGAGAGATGAAAAGTTGCACGCCATTGTGGCGCGAAGCAAATTTCGAAATCAACATGTGCAAAACACATCAGGTTCGGACCGCTTTTGGAAGTTGATATGTTGAAAAAGCGCACGCCGTTGTGGCGCGAAGCACATTTCGAAGTCAAAAGTGTTAAAAACGGTCTCGGTGGCCTTTTGGACGTTCAGATGTCGTTTCGCGTGGCAGGCGCAAGGGACTCTGCACCTTGCCAAAAGTGAGTGCAACGTGAGGGTTTTGTCGCCGTTTCAACTACAACCGCTACACTACACTCCACTCCACTACACTACAACTACAAGCGCGCTTACAATTACAACTACATTACGCTACACTAAATACAACTACAACTACAACTGCAACTACACTACATTACACTACACTATTTGCATTACACTACGCTACACCACAATCCGCTACACTACACTACACTGCACTGCACTACGCTACACTCAATTACACTACACTACCCTAACTACAACTACAGCTACATCTACACTGCACTACATTAATTACATTACACTACACTGCGCTACACCACACTACACCACACCACACCACACTACACTAACTACAACTACAGCTACAACTGCAACTACGCTACTTTACACTGCACTACACTAGACTACACTACACTACCCTACATTACATTACGCTACACACATTACACCACCACAAATGCAACTGCAACTGCACTACACTGATTACACTACACCACAACTACAACTCCACTACGCTACAACTACAACTACAGCTGCACTACACCACACTACATCCAGCAGTTGTGGGTGAGGTGACCGACCAGGTGACCACAGCAATCATTCTAGCCACTCCCAAAAACGCGACTCCAACCACCTTTCAGATCTCTCCTATAGGTTTCCTATTCTGAAACTTCCGCCACAGACTTGTGCAGTACTACTGGAATATGAGGTGCAATGCCGCGTATATGTAACATATTCAAAAGTTGGGGAAGGTCATGTAACGTTTTGTCCTTGTGTATTGTGTTGTGTGCTTGTACATTGAAAGCAAACAAACATAATCAAAACATATATGTATTGTAGGTGGTATCCGTATATTATATATATATGTATAATATATATATATACATATTGGCTTTTGAACCTAGGATTACGCACAGACCCCGTGGTTTGCCCGGACTGCAACATTGATGATTCCCTGTCGTCAAAGAGAAATTGCAGAAAATACTGCGTACAGTATACGCAGTGTTTTCTGCTTTCGGATGCAGAGTTTTCAGGGTTTTAGGGTTTAGGGCTTTAGGGTTTTAGGGTTTTAGGGTTTTAGGGTTCAGGGTTCGTCGTCTGGTAAATACCAAAACACTGGCGCTGCGCAGGCTTTTGAGCATGTCGACGGATAATATTTGAACTCCATTCTAACCTTGCGGGCAAACCATAGGATCTTGCCGTAAGATTAGATAGTACGTATTGTGCATTGTGTATGGCAGCTATGGCACATCCAATTTGAGTATTGTGTATGCTAACGGTATACGGATGTATACAGTATTGCATGGGGTATTTGGAAATTGTATATTACATTTGTATACTGTATGTTGTATATTGTATATTGTATTTTGGAAAATCGTATATTGTAAATCGTATATTGTATTTGGTGGTTTGTTTTTTGTGGATGCTTGTGGTATATTGTGCATGGCTGTATATGGAGTGTATTATACATAGTGTCAAAGGAAAAATAGTTGAGAAACTTTTGAGTTACGGACGAATGTCTGTGGGCAGCTGTCAGCCCACCAATTGAACCACACGGGCAGCATCAGCAGTTGGCAAGTTAACACCTCAACGCAGAAGGTATTGAAGGTGCGTGCGCGTGTGTGTTCACATGAGATTGCCGGTGAGCAGGAGCAGTAGCGCCGAAAAAACCCAGAATAAAACTCCATTGCTTTCCGTAAGTTTACCGTTTACTGTTCAATCAGATTGAATCAACACAAAGACTGATTGATACATATAGGTATTTTCAAGAATTTGGTACCCGAAATCTCCTTGGTATGTCACAATTTTCCCCTTTTCCCCAACGTCTTGCCGATTCTTGGGCATCCCTCGATTCTGAGACAAACATGTACAAAAGTGATCAAACATGTACAGCATGTAAAGATCATGAAAGATCCCGTTTCACCAAAAAATTCCCTACATAAATGCGTTTGTCCGTAAATAGTATAATTATGGATAATTAACACGAAATCCACATGCATGAATCATTTGTGTAAAAACCGTCTGTCTGTAGAAACAGCTGTGCATACTTTTTTTTGTGGGTAAATGCTTCTGTACGAAAAAGTTTCTGCTGTGTAAAAACTGTTCTGGGTAAAGTTTCTGCGTGCAAAAAAGTCGGTCTGTCCAAACTTCTGTGTGCAGTCTGTGTGTACAAGTTTCTTTGTGTCAAATGTTTTTTTGTAGAAAAAACATGTGTAAAAACCGTTCTGTGCAAAAGCTTCTCTGTGGAAAAGGTGTGTAAAAACGCCTATGTGCCTTTATTTATGCGCGCAAAAGCATCTTTGTACACAGCATCTGTGTGTAAAATTGTGTAAATACTTCCTTCTTTGCGTAAAAACCTCTGTGTGTAAAGGCGTTTGTGCACAAAAGTTTTTTGTGCAGAAACCTCTCTGTGTAAGAATATCTGCGCATAAAAGCTGCTTTGTGTAAAGGCTTCTGTGCGTAACGTCGTCTGTTTGTAGAAACGTATCGGTGCAAAATGCATCACCACAGCCAAAGCGCAAAAATGAAATGAAACAAAAGAATCCAAGATCAAATGCTTGATGTCGTTGCCGTTGTTAATGATGGCGATGATGCGTGCAGGGCCCCACAAGGCGTCATCTTGGCTGTCTTAAGTCATTTTTTGAAACCCTTCGGAACAAATTACTTTCTTCGAGTGATCCCCACCAAGTGACACTTTTTTTTGACATAGTTTCTGACATGCTATCTGGCGTTCGCATTTTATCTCATATATTTTCTGCAATTCTTTCTAGTATACTATCTGGTATATCTTCGGAGATTCTTTGTGGTTGAGGTCCGGCGGGCAACACTCTGATCATATTGTAGTATGGGATATCATGTGGAATTATCCCATGATATTTCATATTCCATATTATATTCCATATAATCTTATACCATATATGGAATACCCTCTGGTAAACGTTTACATAACTATGGAAAATCACAATTTTCAATGGGAAAATCCACTATTTCGACTGGGTCATTTTCAATAGCTATGTTAAATTACCAGAGGGTATATGATACTTATTGATATTTAATAGGTACATCATCTATAAATGGGTCATTTTCCATAGCTATGTAACAAATAACCAAATAACCAGAGGGTATCCCCATCATATCTCAAATGAGCCATGGTCAATACTCACTATATGGTTGATGGTCATCCCATCCATAATAAGGATCCAAAAATAATGGTTATTATAAATCCCATCCTGAACCATTGGATGACTAGCCCCTATTAATGGTTATTAACCATGAGTATTGACCACAGCTCAAATGTTGTTGTTGTTGCAGCTCCACCTGGTCACGGATCTCCTTGAGGCTGGGGCAGTTCTTGGCCCGCGCATCGCTGCGCCAATCGAACTCCTCTGGCAGATCCACCACCTGGAGTGATCAACGGATCTTCACCCATTTTTTTTTGGGAAATTATTGGAAAACTACCATTTTTTTGGGGAAATGACTGGACAACTACCATTTTTTTTGGGAAATTATTGGAAAACTACAATTTTTTTGGGGAAATTACTGGACAACTACCCTTTTTTTTTGGGAAATTATCGGAAAACTACAATTTTTTCGGGGAAATGACTGGACAACTACCATTTTTTTTTGGGAAATTATTGGAAAACTACCATTTTTTTGGGGAAATTACTGGACAACTACCATTTTTTTTTTGGGAAATTATCGGAAAACTACCATTTTTTCGGGGAAATGACTGGACAACTACCATTTTTTTTTGGGAAATTATTGGAAAACAACAATTTTTTTGGGGAAATTACTGGACAACTACCATTTTATTTGGGGAAATTATCGGAAAACTACCATTTTTTCGGGGAAATGACTGGACAACTACAATTTTTTTTTGGGAAATTATCGGAAAACTACCATTTTTTTGGGGAAATGACTGGACAACTACCATTTTTTTTTTGGAAATTATCGGAAAACTACCACTTTTTTGGGGAAATTACTGGACAACTACCATTTTTTTTTGGGAAATTGTCGGAAAACTACCATTTTTTCGGGGAAATGGCTGGACAACTACCTTTTTTTTTGGGAAATTATTGGAAAACTACCATTTTTTCGGGGAAATGACTGGACAACTACCATTTTTTTTTGGGAAATTATCGGAAAACTACAATTTTTTCGGGGAAATGACTGGACAACTACCATTTTTTTTGGGAAATTATTGGAAAACTACCATTTTTTTGGGGAAATTACTGGACAACTACCCTTTTTTTTTGGGAAAGTATCGGAAAACTACCATTTTTTTGGGAAATTAGAAAACTACAATTTTTTTAAAAAATTATTGGAAAACTACCATTTTTTTTTGGAAATTATTGGAAAACTACCATTTTTTGGGGGAAATTATCGGAAAACTACCATTTTTTTTGGGGAAATTATTGGAAAACTACAATTTTTTTTGGAAATTATTGGAAAACTACAATTTTTTTTTGGAAATTATTGGAAAACTACCTTTTTTTTTGGGAAATTATTGGAAAACTCACCTGAAATAGGGCGAATTTGGGGGGAAAAACACACGAAACTTCAGCAATTTAAGTGTGTTTTCTCTGAATGGGGTTTGATAGGAAATGGGAGCCAAAACATCCGAGGAGCATGAACATACGGGTGTTTAAGGGTGGTTCAATTGTGGTTCCTGGGGTGATGATGAAAGTTTGGGAGTTTGGAGTTCCAAAGTTGGAGACAAGGAATTAGATGTGCCTAGATCTGGATAATAGGAATTGCTGAAAACAATCGGCACACTTTCAATATATCAGTGTTTCTCTTAATGAGTGTTTCTTTCTAAATAAAACAGAGACATAGTACATCATCATATATCATATGTATGATATATTATATATATATAACATAATACAAATAATAAATTTGGTCATGATTTCGACATCTTCAGATTTCCTTCTTCATCCCCACCTTGTCCAATGGCTTGTAAGGCAGGCGGGTCAAATTGCTCACGTCCTGAAGGGTTCCCATCAAGATCTTCGCCTCAGCCAACGAGGCGCCCGCGAAGCGCAGGTTCTCTCCCGCCACCCAGGTCTTCTCAGATGCGGAGTTCACGGCGTCGATCAACTCCTGGCTGGAAAAAATGGGATGTGAAACAGGTGGGAAAAAATTATGTAACTATATTTCTATCAGTCTATCTATCTATCCATCCATGCATCCTATCTAATCCAATCTAATCTATCATTACTATTATTATTGTTATTATATATATATACACATGTATATAGTAAGTAAGCCCCAAAGTATAGTATGGTACATAGAACAGTTGTAAGCATTGTAAATCTGGAAAACATGAAGTAAATTGCACCTGTAACATGCTGGAAATACTGTTTTATCTTTTTTTTTCGGTGCCTATTTTAAAAAGGTTTGTCTAAAAACTATGGGCTAAATTTCCAACATGTTTGACGGTTTATCATCATGACTATTTGGGCCTCGTCCCTGTTGTGTAAATCTTCTTTGGAGAGGTACCAATTCTGATGATGAATAATCAGGAGTAATTCTGAAAAAACAAAATCATGAAGTAATTATCACTGATACATACTGATACCGACTTTCCCATAATGTCAACCCCGGATTTTGCTAAACCATGGTTTATCAATATAAACCAGGGGTAGAAACCCCCAATAGTCATGATTTCATATGATTTTTAAATATTTTTGATGGTACCTTCCCGTTGACATTATGCCATTGCCATTGCCATTGCGGGATACTCCTGTGAGGTGGCTTTCTGCTTCAATGCTTCCTGGTCCATCAGCTCTCCATGGCTTTCCCAAGATGCGAAGGCTGCGGCACCGGTCGCAGCGGTCGCGGCCGCGGCAAGGAGGCGCAGAGCCATGGCGAAAGCGGCGGCGAGTTGCGAGGCGGGCAACGAGGCGTTTCGGGCACGAAGCAAAGGCCTTGCAGTTGAGCCAAGGTTTTCGCCAATTTTCGTGAAACCAAATGTCAATCACTTTTTCACAATCTCTGTTTTCAAAGATAGAATGACATATCATGATATGTAAACTACGTATGTATGCACTAATATAATCTATAGATTACATAGCATGTAATGCTTATTTAATTAATTAGTTATGTTACCCTCTGGTAAACTAACATAACTAGTGTTTTCTTTAAACCAAAATCACAATGTTGAATGGGTAAATCAACTATAAATGGCTATTTTCCATAGCTATGTTAAATTACCAGCTCAGGCAACTCGTCCTTTCGAAGGTCAGGCGCAGGGTGGGAGTTCCCGCGCGCCGCGGCCGCGGGATTCGGCACGCCACGTCCTAAAATTTGGCCCGGACCGTTTTCGGAACGCCGTTCAAACCAAGAAACGTTGCGAAAGATGAGGTTGAGATTCATGGGATTTCATGAGAGTTATCCATGTTTCATGGGCTATTCATGGGATTTCATGGGATTTTATCAAAACTCTGATATTTGGGTGTGTCTGAAAATGGCAAAGAATTCCATCAATTCCCCATTTCTAGGCATTTTAATGGGGAACATTCCGGGAAAATCATTAACACCCAATGGATTTGGGGTGTTCCAATAAGACAAACCCAGATGTCATGGAAACGCATGATAGAACGTGCAAGATTTTTTCAACACTCAGATGATCAACAGGTCATGGAAGCAGATTTTTACATCTCTTCAAAACACAGATTTTTCTCACTGAAATTGAACACAATAAATCCATCCGCAAAGTCCATCATTTCAACATTTTGAAACACCAAAAACCCACCGAGCATCTGTATCGTTGGCGCACAAATCCCGCATGGCCCGAATGGCTCCAGCACAGCAACGCTCACCTCTGACGTACCGTAACTGTGAGGGAAGAGTCGAGTTACGACTGGGACATATGTTAAAAGGCCCGTGATCAATCCACCATCACTGGGATTCCTTATGGATTCCTTATGTAATCTATGTAATCTATCATGGATATACTATGGATATACTATGGATATACTATGGATATACTTAATGAAGCCCGTTTGGAAAATTTGGATTGATGACCATCCCAAAAGTTGCATGGCTGGCAAAAGTTGCATGGTTGGATTTCTATGCCTATCTAATCCAACTAACAGCTGATGCCGTCCGGGCGGAAGAGAACCCAGCTGGAAGAATTTTGAAGATCACCAACTTCCAACTTGGAAGTGCAGGTCCAGTGAAGTGCAAATGATCTCAATGATCTAAACGGAGACATAATATAGTCGCAGTTGTAGAGGCTCCAATATGGCAGTGTGTCAAAACCCTATCCCCCTGGTGAACATCAAAATAGCTGGTAAATGGATGTTCATCCCCCTAAAAATGGTATTAATTAATAGGTATTGATCCATACCCATATAGCCGCAGTTGTAGAGGCTCCATATCCCAACAAACCCCTGAGGATGGAACGGCCCCCAGGACGCCAAGAGCATTTGTCACCGCCGCAAACGCCACACTCAGAGCTGCAACACACGTCCTGAAACAAGTTTCTCGCTGGGAATTGTCTGGACGTTTTTGAAACCCCAACAAAACGGAGGATCCATCAGGATCCATCTCTTTTCTTAAGACACACAGCAGTACTGCCCTGCTGACCTGGCATCATGCCCGGCTGGTGATTTTGAACGGTCACCACCAGCTGTCCTGAAACGGTAATCCCTTTCGGCAATAAACCACCTGGTCGCGGAATGCGCGGAAGGCTCAACAGGTCCCATTGAAAAACATGGCGTGGTCCGATTAATATACGTATATTATTATATTATATTATATGATGTTATGTTATATGATATTATATTATATTATATTACATTACATTATATTATATTATATTATACAATATCATGTTTTATTACATTATATTATCTTATATCATATTATCTTGTATGCCTTACATTATATTATATATTATATCATATTACATTATATTATACTGTATAATAATAATACATTACACATTATATATTAATATACGGGTTTTTAAGTTGATAGCTACCCCAAAAACCTGGTTGTCCTTCACGTAGCAGTCCCGGTCGTCGTCCAAAGCTTTGGTTGGAATCCATATGTTGCCTTAGTGGGTCGGTGATTGGAGGGACGACTTTAGCAAACAAGGCTTTTGTTCACAGTAAAATTCAGTCAACAAGCTTCCAGATTTTACAGTTTTACATGGTTTTACGACATTTTCCATCGGGAAAAACTTGTTTACCAACAGCCGGAAAAAAAACATAGAGGAATGTACCCTCTGGTAATTTAACATAGCTATTGAAAATGACCATTTTTTATAGTGGATTTTCCCATGAATCATGGTGATTTTCCAGTTCGCTATGTTAGTCATAACCAGAGGGTAAATGGGTTTGTCTGAAAATGGGATATACAAACCCATGGCCATCTGAACTTCGGGGACCTCACATGACCTCACTGCCCGAGTTTCCGGAGTTTCCGGCAGGCCGAGCTGTCACGAGTTGTCACGGCCAGGGAGGTGGTTTTTTTTTTAATGGGAAATCAACCATATATTCCCAAGTTATATCCAAAGTTATATCCAAAAACTATATCCAAAAGTTACATCATGAAAAATGATATCCCAAGTTATATCAAAAAAAAACATTAATCATGGGAACATTTTAAATTCGGATGTTTTTTTCTGGAAGTTTCAATGGGGACATTTTTTGACATTTTCGGATAGCTGGATAGCCTGCAAACTATGCCCAACCATGGTGCTATGAAAAATGCATCGCCCAGCATGTTCGCCGCTGTAAACCACCTGGTGGCCGACGGAGGGTTTTGCACCAAGCACGTCTCAATTTCAAAGCACATGAGATCTCTCAAACATGTGCGAACATATATTATAATAACATATATTATAATATATATATATATTTATCACATATATTTCATTATATTGCATATTACAGTATATTATATATTACATATTGTCACATATTGTCTACATGACTGGAACATACTGGAACATACGACGTTTTGTGACCCTGCCTCAAATGCAGCGCAGTCCATGCGACTACTGCACAGTGCTCGACAAAAGAGCTCCGGGAGAGTGAAGTTCCCATTGAGATCTTCCAATTCATAGCCTCCAAAACCAGTCCATTGAGGATGATCCCGGATGGATATTTTTTATGACTGATCTGAAAAAGCAACCAACGAAAAAGCTTTAAGTGGAGTTTTAATACATATATAATATACATATGTATATATATATATGTATATATATATATATATATGTATATAAATATATATTTGAATGTTTCAAGTTGTGACCCCAGAGCGGAAAGCGCCTCCACAACTCTTCCCAGGAAAGGGCATGTAATCCGTGAAGGGCGACCTCAGCGGGGCCCTCCGTGAAGGCCGAACTTCTCGTCGGCCATTCTCCGATGAAAAAGTGACCATAAAATGGGGGGTATACCCTCTGGTAAACTAACGTAACTATGGAAAATCACCATCTTTAATGGTTAAATCCACTATAAATGGCCATTTTCAATAGCTATGTTAAATTACCAGAGGGTACATAATTTCCACTATGGTAAAATATGGTAACATATGGTAAACTATGGTAAAACTATGGTAAAACTATGGTAAAACATGGTAACATATTGTAAACACTATATCATACTATGTTGATATATGTAAAACATATATCATAAAATTAGGGCGAAGTCCAACCACAAACAACTATCATTTCCCAGCTCAGTGACTTGTAGCCGTCAAAAGCTGCACGGTAGAAGCCAACACCTGCACGGTGCAAGGTTCCCACAACCTTCAGAAGAGCCAAACTATAACTAGACTTGAAATAAATAGAACGCGTATTCGGGGCTGCTACAAAATGCTGTATATATATTATATGATATAATTATTATATATGATATAATTATTATATATGATATAATTATTATATATGATATAATTATTATATATGATATAATTATATAAAATTATACATATATATGATCTTTACCTCAGAATTTCCGGGAATCCATCTGTTCTATCTGTTCTTGGGGAAACATTTGTTTTCCGTAGAAACCTGCACTTTCGCCTGAAGGTCTTGTGTATCTTCTGATATCTTTTTTTTTTGTTTATTTCATTACTATCCCATCATTTACGTTCATTTACACGGTTTCATACTCACCAATAGTTACCAACTGGTGCGGGATTTTGCCCATCCACAGTTACCTTTAGGATATGAAATACTCCTATTTTTTTGACATGAAGAAAAACGAAAATAAACTCCGGAACCTGGCCTGGATGCATGAGAAAACCTGCAGGATTTCTCAAGACCTCCATCACCTCCACCTCTCCACTGAAAAAACTCTGCGAAATTCCAGAAATCTGCTGGGATTTTCCAGCATTTTCATGGATGTTTCCATGATTTTCCAAGTAATACATGAAATTTCACGTGGATTTTCTGTTGAATCATGTGGTAACCCAATCATCCACCATTTGGGGGGTGGAATCCCCACGAAAATGCTGATGACTTGGGCCCCGTAGTTCAAGCCCCACCTTGGGCCCCGTAGTTCTGCAAGATTTCGATCTTCAAAAATCTCCCCGTCAGCGGCACGTCCAACGTCATCTCCGTCACGGGATGTGGCGAACTGGGCACCTTGCCTCTCATGCTCAGGTCTGCCTCAGGCCAAGGGAAAGATGATGGAAGTGAAGCCCAAATTATGGCTAAAGCCTGGCATATGTAATATGCATATCTCTATAGATTATATCATATATAATATACAGTATGCTATGTCTATATGTATATATGTATATGTGTATATATATATATATGTGTATATATACATATATATGTGTATATACATATATGTATATATAATATGAATACATGATAATACATGTGTATATATATGAATATGAGGATAAACCATGTTAAGCCATTGGATTTGGAGACAACTTCAACTACTTGGAACAATTGCCGAGCTTTTGGGTCTCCTCATTGTGCTCTCCTTGCTGGTTAAAAAAAATCACATGGTAGGTCTATGGCATAGGGTGCATCCCACTTTAACCCATAGAAATTATATCCCCATGATATTCCCATTGTCCCATTCAATCCCCATGTTTTGAATGGTACAATCACCATTCACCAGAATTCACCATTCAGAATTGCCATGCTGACCACTATCAGCTACCATCTGATGGGGTTTCCAACCAGGAACTGGAGGTTTTGGCGCGTCCACATTGGAGATGTCGTGGAAAACTTGAGCCTTGGTACCATGCCATGCTGGCACTGAACCTGGGAACCTGGGCGATTTTGGAGATCATCCTGGATATTTATCATATTTTAGGATTCTGAATAAGCAATGCAAACGATTTGAAAACTGGAGTGAACATGTCATTTAAGAAATTTAAGCATGAAAGATCATGAAAGGGGGATATTATCCTGGATATCAATAATCGGTATTTCTCAAACATGTTCAAGCCAAGGGAGTCACCGATTTTTAAGAATTTTGGCTCATTCGTAATATCAATCTGTCTCAACCATCCATTTTTTCGAGGGTAACCTCCATTGGATATACCCCCAATTTATAGTAATTCATGGGCTATACCACCATTGATGGGGTATATATACCACCATTTACCAGCTACATACGATATATATATATGGCTATACCATGCTATGCCTCCATTTGTGGCCATTACAATGATTACAAACCAACAAAAATGAGGGACCGCCGTCCCGGAGCCACCTCTCCATCTCGTGCGTGCGTTTCGAGCGGCTTCGAGCAGGCTGTCCAAGTCTTTGCCGGCGCTGACCAGAATCTTCCGGACCGCTTCGTCGCTGGCATAGTTCCACAATCCTGGCGTCGATTGTGAAAAAAGCTGGCATGGTCTGGAGGCCTGGAGGTTTGGGCAAATGTTTAATGGAAAATGGATGGTAAATGGATGGTAAATGGATGGTGGCCATAGTTTTTCGGGACCATAATTTGAATTGATGGGAGATAGAACCATGGTCAAACATCTCTTTAATTCACGACCCAACCCACACGAAGCAAAAGGCCCATATAGCCAAGACACGAAGCTTGGTCACGGTAAACCTCTCTTCAAAATCGAAGATGAGCCAGGCATTCCTCATTGCTTGGGAAATCCCTCAAAAAATAATTGGCATTTTGAAAGAGTGCATGACTTGGCGCCCTCCGATTCTTCACCAACCAATCACCACCCCCAGCGTTTTTCCAAGTTGCGAACAGAGGACCACATTGTCGTTGGTCTCGCAGGCCTGGCTCACCGGATGATCCTTTTATGGCAAAAGCTCTCAACGTTGAAACTCGTTTTCTCATGTTTTGTCGAAAAACAATGGCGCCAAAAAAATGGATGCCGTTTTTTGTTGAAAGACACTGCCCCCCTAAATGGCAATGTAGACAAATATAAGTTCTCAACCGCTTGAGAGGGAAATAATATATGATATTACTAATTACATGATCAGACATGCACGATGGACAATTTTTCTGGTGAGGAAATATTGCAAACTACTGCCATAAAAATATCCTTTTATAAAATTTATATCCTTTTATGTTAAGAAGTTCTCAAAAACAAACGGTCCTAAGAATGTCTCCACTAGCTCTGGCTCTGCCCTTGTGCGATATCTGGAAGTCCCGGCTGCTCCCCAAGTACTACTCTTGTGACCATGTGGCCTAGAAAACCAAAATCAACTTAGTATGAAAAAATCCAGGTACGGAATGTTTCCCGCTGCTGAGTTATTTTGCTGGTCAAGACGCTGATCCACCTTAGAAATTTGGGTCCCCAACCCACATGCTTTCAAGGAGGGGAAACAGTTGAAATGCTGCTGAAATACTAGAAAAAATGGGAGTTGAAGCAGGACAGATTACAAATGGTTAGGACTTGTCGAAAAAAACAATGTACATATATGGAAATATTCGTAAAAAGAATTCAAGTGTTTGGATATCCCTGAAACAATAGCCGGCTTCCCAGCAAGACAAATAAGACATAAGAAGACCATCATGCTGGAAATTCGTGATTCCCAGTCATGTTTTTTTGGAAAACCCATGGTTTGGTCCCAAAAAAACATACATCTTTCACCCAGCATTTTTCCCAACAAAAAACCAGCCTTACTAATATAGAAACTATCGTCTGGCCGCACATCCAGTGGCAAGATGGTCGAGTAGGGGCTATGCCTCGGACCATGCAGAGACAAAAAGTGGCAGTCCAACAGTACAACCAATCTAAAATACGCAAAATCATGCGAACTCAGCCAACAAAAGTGTGGTTTTTTTTTTGCTTTTGTTCCTCTCTCTCTCTCTATATTGTATACAGTATACAACAGTATATGTTGTATAATTCTATATATATATAGTTATATAATATAGCCATATATAATCTATATAGCTAAATGGAGTACAACTGGCGTTGACGAGTTGGATATGTTCATCCAGCTTCCAGGTGTCGCAGTGCCTGCCCTGCCGAATTTTCCGAGCAACCGATGAGCATTGTGGCAATCCAGCGGAGCCTTATCATCACCTTGGAAAGGAGGTGTTGGAGTGGAAAAAACTCATCGCTGGCATCAAAAACCCTCAGATTCTACGGATGATTCTGATTGTAGGTCAATAATAATGGTCAATAGGTCCGAAAAATCCAGGGGATTTTTCAGTTGCTCAAAAATTGCTCAATCCATCACCTGCCTTGCCTTGACTAGGATGCCTAGTGTCTAGACAGTCTAGACCTGACTTTAGTTGGATCATGTTTAGTCGACGATCCATGCCGCCTGGTTTGGGATCCAGCACAGAGCCACAAAACCAACCATGTGGTATACCAGCCAGTGAATAGTTGAAGGGAAAAAAATGCGGCCAACTTATTTCAGTTATATTCGGGTTTATCTGAAAGTGGGGTGCACCGAAAATCCAATCACTAGTAATCAGGCTCCTTGTAAAATGGACATATATTCAGGTAAATCCCTCATTTTCAGACCCAACTAATCCAACTATCACATTCTCTTGGTCGTACATCCCATAAAATCTCCCCATCAAATCCCATGACATACCCATATTGTTGGTGATGTATGGTTTTTTGTCACATTCTATTCCCAAAATCATCGATGTGCCGATCTTGATCCATTTGATCCATTTGCTTTGCCCAATTTTGCCCATAGAAAACAATCAAAACATAGTTAGAAAAAACGATCCAATGAAATCATATGAAATCCCCATAAAATCCATAAATCCCCCATGTTTTGTGGCTTACCCTGGCTGGTTACCGAATGTTCCTCAGCTCCAAGGCAACAAACCCTCGATCATCCCAACGAGGTGTGCAGGTAAAAATCATCCGTGGCTGGGGGATTCCCAGAGGTTACCTGTCTGGGCAAATGTTGGAGATAATTATCCTGCTTATCAAATAATGGCAAATTAGTAAGAGGAATTATCCCAATAATTATTATAATTCACTAAATGTTGGATGGACCATATTGGGATAATTCATGATAATTCCTCTTACTAATTCCTCTTACTCACCATTATTCCAGGGTTCGGGAGAACAGGCTTCGCTCGTCATAATTCAGACTTATGAATCATCAAATCTTGGGTGTGCCATATCTTCAGACAATCAACAAATTGACAGCTTGTTAAAAAATTGGATACCCCCCAAAAAAAAACAGGTTACCCTCTGGTAAACGTTTACATAGCGAACTGGAAAATCACCATTTTATCCATTATTCATGGGAAAACTCACTATTTCGATTGGGCCATTTTCAATAGCTTTTTGTATGTTTACCAGGCCGGGTAAACCATGTTAAACCAATGTCCAACCCATCCACTGGTCATATGGCAAAAGAATGGTCCAAATGATGACCGGATTTCCTCCCAATTCTCAGGAAATTATCCGATGATTTCCAATTGACACACACTGGAACCCCCATCAACTATATATATATATATCCATATATGATATTGGTATTTATATTGGTTATACAACCATGATATTCAATAACCATATATCATATATCATATATATTGCTGCGTATATCATGTTGTTTGGTTATTCAACACCAATGATAATCCCATCTATTAATTATTGGGTTTAACTCATACCGTTCAACCGTTTAACCATGTTCTACCCTCTGGTAAACTAACGTAACTATGGAAAATCACCATGTTTAATGGGTAAATCCATGTAAATCCACTATAAATGGGCCATTTTCAATAGCTATGTTTGACATCACCAGAGGATGTATCCCATTAATATCCCATTAAATCACTATAAAATCCCATTAATCCACTATAAAATGCCATTAAATCACTATGTTAGTTTACCAGAGGGTAAAACCCAATGGTTCAAACCCATCCATTGGCTGGTCAAGCGTCAGCCCCTGCTGAAGTAACCCCTGCAGTCTGAGCCATCGATGGGGCAGCCAGCACGGGCCTGGCGCCGAACATGGGTGGGTGTTTTAGTCACCCCATCTATGTATGAATATATGTATATATGTATATAATATACATATACAATCATACATATACATACACATATATATATAAATATATATATATGTACATATATATATGATATGTATTATGTATATATGAACAATTGTGTATGGGATGGGATGGGGAGATGGGATGTGATGGGATGTGGAATCGAATGTCATTTCTGTGTATGTTGATCCTACAAACCAGCACTTCCACCAGGCCGCCACTCCGGCCTGGATGGCTTCCGAGGTCCAAATGGCTTTCACCATTTTGCTGTAGCCATGGAAGTTGGCCTCCGCCACGCTCCAGCTGCCAATGACCGTCTCCTCCTCCTCATGCCTAACCAGGAAGCGGGTGGGACCTCAAAGACCAGGAAATGGAGTTTCAAGATGGTTTAAGATGGTTTTAAGATGATTTTCAGATGGTTTAGGATGGTTTAACTACCGGGTAGAACAAATCAGCCTCGCCTTGTTGCGGCGTCGTACAACGGCAGGTTGACGTCTGGAGTGTAGCAAGTACCTTTGACGTCGTGACATCTGGACGAATTAAGATTTCACAGGATTTCACGTGTGATGATCGTGCCACAAAGGTGCAACATGGTTCAATTATGCTCAAATAGATGATGCAAATAGAAGATGCAAAATACCCTCTGGTAATTTAACATAGCTATGGAAAATGGCAATTTATAGCGAGTTTTCCCATTAATAGCATGGTGATTTTCCATAGTTTTGTTAGTTTACCAGGCCGGGTAAATCCACATGATTCACTATAACATAGAACAAGAAGAAAGCACTTGGCTTGGCTCTGATCCGAGATCCGAGTGGCAAAAGTCGTTGCTTCCTTTGTGTAAGCCAGCAGCCCTTACCAGATTGTCCTGGATGCAAAACTTCCTGCAGCCTGGCGCAGCCAGCTGAAGCTTGATGTGTGGATTTTCCCATGGCTCTAAATCCAGTGCTTCATCATCATTTTCCAATCATTTTCCCAGATTTTCTTGCCATTTGGGTGATACCCTCTGGTAATGACTAACATAGCAATGGAAAATCACCATAGAAATAGTGGATTTTCCCATGGAAAAAATGTGATTTTCCATAGTTATGTTAGTTTACCAGAGGGTATTTTCCATCTATTTTCAGACACACCCATACTGTAAATCATCATTGGTTCACCTAACATCCTGGCGAAATCCTCACTCTGGACGATGCGTATTGAAACAAGGTCACCCCATGACTATGGCGTGTTGTTTTGGTTACTAAACTACGCCCTCTTATACTCCGGGTTCAAAGTACATGGCTCAGACCTACTTTTTCAGAGGTGGTTGCGCCATCTATTTAACAGTGATTGTTTTTTTAAGGATATGTACCCGAAACAGCAAAAGTGCCCAGAAGATGGCGCAACCCTACATGTGCAAAATGGGCCAAATTGCGCCATCTACCCCATTTTTAATTTAAATCCCTTCTTCCGGGACCGGACATTTCGGTCATCAAAGCGTTGAAAAAATAACGGGGATGTGTGTTCAACAATAGTTTTTCTCGTTTTTTTTTTTCACTACTAAATAGATGGCGCAACCCCCTGGGACAGTGCCATCCGCTTGTGTCATGGAATAGGAGGAGGGAAAGGAGAAAGGAGACAGGAGAAAGGAGAAAATTAAAGGGAAAGAAGAAAGGAGAAATGGAACATTATTTTTCTTTGGGAAACCATAACTGTGGGTTGCGCCATCTATAGGTTACCACTGCTTTCCATGTGTAAAGGAAAGGGGATCGGAGAAGCGAAAGGAGAACGGAAAAAGGAGAAAAAGAAAGGGAAAGGAGAAAGGGGAAAGGAAAAAAGGAGAACAAAGAAGGGAAAAGGGAAAGGAGAAAGGGAAAGGAGAAAGGGAAAGGAGAAAGGGGAAATGTGGAAAGGAGAAAGGGAAGGGGAAATGGAGAAGGGAGAAAAGAGAAGGGGAAAGGGAAGGGAGAAAGGAGAAAGGAGAAAGGAGAAAATGAAAGGGAAAGGAGAAACGGAAAGGAGAAGGGAGAAAGGGAAAGGCAGCAGGATTTTTCTTTGGGAAACCATAACTGTGGGTTGCGCCATCTATAGGTTACCACTGCGTTCCATTTGTAAAGGAAAGGGGAAAGGAGGAGGGAAAGGAGAACAGAAAAAGGAGAAAAAGAAAGGGAAAGGAGAAAGGAGAAAGGAAAAAAGGAGAACAAAGAAGGGGAAAGGGAAAGGAGAAAGGGGAAATGGAGAAGAGAAGGGAGAAAGCAGAAGGAAGGGGGAAAAGGAAAGCTGAAGGTGAAAAAGGGAAGGGAATGAGAAAGGGAACGGAGGAAGGAGAAAGGGGAAGTTAAGGGCAAAGGGAGAGGAGAAGGGAAATGGAGGCTTGGAAACTTTGGACTTAAGAATCCTTGCATAGATGGCGCAACCCTGAAACATTTTCTGGCATAGATGGCGCGGCCCACAAAAATAACGGGGATGGATGTCACGCCCTTTTCGGGTGTCAAAATTCAAAAAGTCGGCGCCATCTATACGCGCACTTTGGAAGAGGGCGGAGCCATCTACCTTGAAAAGGGTGTATATATATACATACATACTATCATAAACTATTTGAACATAATTCCAAGACTTGGTTTGGTTGGCAATATCATCTCAAGGACTCTCAGCTTGATGAAACCATGAACTCTGCAAAGACAAATGCATGGTTTAGCTGGATCCTTGCACTCCGACAAACAGAGCAGAAAAATATCACTGTTAGCAGTGGGTATCCCCCAGGGGTTACAATCATCCACGATAAACCAGCTGGTTTTTCAGCACCTATTGACCAGTGGTTAATATGTAATCAACAATGCATGTGAAATATTGACCCCCAAAACCCAAATGTTGGTGGTTAAAACTGTTAAATAGCTGTTAAAGCTCCTATAACTTACATGATAGTAAAATCCCCTGTTGGTACTGCTTAACTCACCATATTTGCTGGGTCTCTTGAACATGGCTCTAACGCTGCTCAGCTGGTTTGGTCTAAACATCCCCATTACCTCACCATCCCCATCCCCGCCTCCAAGTTTTCCCGAGATGCTGTGAGGCACTGTGGCACGCCGGAGCTTCTTTTCCCCCAAGGGCCCTGCAGGGGCCATACCATGCGCCTGCCGAAGGCACCGAAGGACCCTGGGATTTCACCAAGAGTGGTGCCCGACTGCGAGAAACATGGAGGAGTTGATTCGATTTGATCTATGTTGGTATGACAAGAATGGATTGAAAGATATTGAAAGTTGGAGTTGAGGGACTTTACTTAGACTGGAAATCCAGGGCCATCCAAATCTGGGAGGCAAACTTCCCTTTGAAGCTCAAGTTCCGGAAACCTCGGGGCTTTGAGAACAAACAACCAACGGTGCCTACTGGAGCCCAGCGAAGATATGGGGTTCCCAAATTTCCACCGAAAAAGTCAAACGATATACACTGCCTGTAGCTCCTTCGAAATTTCATCAACTATCAGAGAGATAAAAAGAGACGTCAGGTGTTCCAGTTGGCAACATGATCAGATGATGATCAGATGATGATACATGATTACATTTCATACAGGTAATATTATATATATATAATCATGACAGTCATGATGATGAACCAAGAGGAACCGTTTGATAATACAAACATAACCATGACTATAAGTTACCCGGCCTGGTAAACGTTTACATAACGAACTGGAAAATCACCATGTTTCCATGGGGAAAATCCACGATTTCGACTGGGCCATGGCTTCAATAGCTATAACTTGACATAACCAGAGGGTATGTATCCCATTAATATCCCATTAAATCACTATAAAATCCCATTAATCCACAGTTTTCCCATAAATCATGGTGATTTTCCATCGTTTTCGAGTTGAAGCATCTTCAATTCATATTAAAACTCGTGTTACCAACTAGGTCAGATCCCAATTGATCCCCCGATATCCCGCCTCAGAACGCCAGGTCACATTGACGTAGCCTGGGCGCTTTCTGGTGAAAAACCAGAGAAAAAGGTCGTTTTACTGGCAGAAATAGGGGGATTCACCAAATCACTTCAGCAAAAATGAGAGCAAATCAGCAGCAAAATGGGGATGTCATCGATAAACCCATGATAACCCATGGACTTCAAGAGATGTCAAGGGCATCAACACATGGCATTCTTGGGAGCCAAGGTCGTCCTAGTCCGGGAAATCAAAGCCACAAGATGTTGAAAAATCTCATCCAACCTCACCAAGTCAATGGCAAAATCCAATCCAAAGGTGTTTCAACCACCTCACTCTTCAACTGTATATATATATATATAATGCTATGTATATATATTACATATTATATATATTATAATATACTATAATATACTATATAGGTATATCAGTATATCAAATAAATCACAAAATAAACAAATAAATAAATAAATAAATATATATATATATATAGATACATACATACATGACACACATGATCGCTATGGGTCAAAATCTCTTCACAAAGTGGATTTCTTTCGAAATCTCTGGATCCAGGGTCTACCAGGGTCTACCATTGGTCGAAGCAGCAGTGACAAAACAAGGTGGTCGTGGTTGTGGTGACAACACTGGTACTCCGAGGCCTCAGCGTGTGGATAGCGTGTGGATAGCGCGTGTTGAGCGGAGCGAGATCAGCGGAGCCACTTCGGATGGGTCCATTGTTTCGGGATCTTTGGATGTGCCAAAAAAAATGCCAAAACCATGTTGAAACCATGTTGAAACTGAGATCCAAACTTCGTATCCCAATCTTCAGCTTCATCCTCGTCTTTTTCTTTGGTCGTCGTCGGCTTTTTGGTGGTTTTCGCGCTGCCACCGGCGCTGCCACCGGCGCTGCCACCGGCGCTGCCACCGGCAGCTGTCGTGGTAGCGGCTGCCGCAGTCGTTGTGGCCGTGGTGGCCGCTGTGGTCGTAACGCTGGCACCGCCGGGCGGCGTGGTGGACTTTGTGGTGGACTTCGTGGACTGCTTAGCACCTCCGGCGCGGGAATCTGGGAGCAGGTCAGATCGAATAGCAAATCACTCAAATCACTCAAATCACTCTCTCATCATTATCAAAATCCATAATAGAAGTTCCTTAGCCTTCGTGTGAAGTTTGAAGAAATTCAGTTGACCGTGGAGGAGGAGAATAACGGCTGAAACTAATTCTCGCAAAAGTTCTCGGCATTCTGCATGGTTTCGAACGACTCGAACATATGGGTTTGTCTTGAAATTATGGGGAAAAATTATGGTTCATCACCATTTTCTCGATTGAAATGGCCATACACCATGTTAGAAAGGAACCTTCCCACATTTCGGCCTGTGCTCTGGCTAGTGGTCGTTGGAACGCCATCACTGCCGGGTGGCGTGGTGGACTTTGTGGTGGACTTCGTGGACTGCTTAGCACCTCCGGCGCGGGAATCTGGGAATCAGCAGGGCAGATCGAATAGCAAATCACTCAAATCACTCAAATCACTCAAAATCACCATCTCATCATTATCAAAATCCTTAGCATTCGTGTTTGAAGAAATTCAGTTGACCGTGGAGGACAAGTCCGACAAAAGTTCCAGGGCATTCCGCATTTCAAAACGGTGGTTTTGTTTGAGAATGATGGAAAAACATCACAGATGGTTCATCGCCATTTTCCCGATAATATTCACATGGCTATACATTGGGGGTATACACCATTTTCTGACACAATGAAAGGATGCAAACCCTCCCACATGCAAAGGCCTTTGCTCTGACTGGTGGTTGCCTAAGTGACAGGAACATCATCACAACCATCTTAAGTGTGGAACATCATGGAGCATCCATGCCAGCCACTTGGGATCACTTGGGCGTGGAAGATAACAAATATATTTTACTTCGTGCGTTCCTACTATTGCATACTATCTAACATTCTATCTGAAACATATTCTGACATGTTCCTCTGCCATTCTATATGACATTTGATCTGGCATTCTATCTGACCTAGCATATATTCAAATATTTCATCTGGCACTCTGACATTCTATCTGACATTCTTTCTAACATTTTATCTGGCATTTTGTTGTGCATTCTGGCATATATTGGGACATTCCATCTGGCGTTTTATCTGGCACATAGACATATATATTCTGACATTATGTATATATATATACATATCGCATAATTTGAATGTTTGGCACTTTCTCGTTTGCATGCGTGCGTCCGGACAGTGACGTCTGAGACTAAAATGGCCTGGGAGGCAAACTTAAGTCTATTTTCATATTAGCCACTCCTGGTTGGTGGTTTCAACCCCTCTGAAAAATATGAAAGTCAATGGGAAGGATTCTCCCATATATTGTGGAAAATAAAACATGTTTGAAACCACCAATCAGATATAGTTATCACATGATGAATATAATGATGAGGAATGATGATCAACCAATTATATTAATTATGGGGTACTCCATTTTGACCCGCTAAGGACGCGGCGGATGCGGATCCTTCGGTCTGCGGCGCATCGTAGTCGTCACCGTCCTGAGTGTCGGACTCCTCATCCGCGTCATTCTCGTCTCCTCCATCCGGGACGGTGCAGACTGTTGCTGATTTGTCTACAGAGAAGGAGGTATGTATATATATATATTATATATATATGTATATTATATATATATGATATATATATATTTATACAGACAGTAGATAGAGTAGATAGAGAGAGTAGATAAAAAAAAGATAGCATAGATAGACGAGATAGACTATTAATCTATTAGATGAGATAGATTATTTTGACTAGATAGATTATTTGGATAGATATACTTAGATAGATTTAGATAGATTTGGATAGATTTCGATAGATTTGGATATACTTGCATAGCCTTGGATAGAGTTGGATAGAGTTGGGTCGATTTGGATAGATTTAGGTTTAGGTTTAGATTTCGATAAATAGATAGATTTAGATAGATAGACTTAGATCGAGATAGTTTTAGATAGATTTAAAAGAATAAATAGATAGACTCAGATAGACTCAGATAGACTCAGATAGACTCAGATAAACTCAGATAGATAGATAGAGTTAGATTTAGATTTAGATTTAGAGATAGATATAGATAGATAGATATAGATAGATATAGATATAGATATAGATATAGATAGTTAGATAGATAGTTAGATAGATAGATAGTTAGATAGATAGATAGAATAGAACAGATAGAATAGATAGAATAGATAGAATAGATAGAATAGATAGAATAGATAGAATATGAAAGAATAGATAGAATAGATAGAATAGATAGAATAGATAGAATATGAAAGAATAGATAGAATATGAAAGAATAGATAGAGTAGATAGAATAGATAGAATAGATACAATAGATACAATAGATACAATAGATAGAATAGATGAGATAGATGAGATAGATGAGATAGATTAGATAGATTAGATATACTAGATAGCTTATAGATGGATTAGATAGATTAAATGGATTAGATTAGATATAATATTTGGGTTATTTAGATGATTCAGATTAGAATTATAGAAATAATATCTGATAAGATAAATTAAAATATAACATTGCAGGGGCAAAGGGGGCCGAAACGTGGGTTTCCGACGTTGCGCTGTGACGCTCCCGGGGGATGGTGGCGCTGCGACGCTGCGACGCTCTGGGGGGCGGGTAGCGCTGCGACGCGGCGACGCTGCGACGCGGGAGCGACGCTGCGACGCTGTTGGCGCTGCGACGCTGTTGGCGCTGCGACGCTTCCTTCTGCAAGAGTGCACACGGCGTTGCTTCGCGGCGCGACACGCTAGATGTATATAGCACATGATGCAATGCCTTGCATCAGGGATTGCAGTGATTGAAAGATGTTTCCCTCTTCAGTTGCCAGCTGGGTATGCATGTGGTGATTGCAAGCTTTTGAGTGCGTAATGCATGAGTAATTGGGCTAAGCCTGCGTGAAGTTTCTGTAAGTCTTGGGTTTCAGTTGGCGCGCGCAATATAGAAGGAGGGTTTATTTAATTTTGTCTTTAAATCAACTCGCCGTGTATCACTGTAGAAAAGGAGAAGTCATCAGCACATGAATGTGGAGGAGCAGGCACTTGGGCTTTAGCTTTTTAATCTTAGTTTGGCACAGGAGAAATAAAGGCAACTCTATGGGCAGTTCCGAACATGTCCAAGCAATGGTTTTAATTTTCTTTCGGCTCAGCTCTCTCGGCATTTTTCCACGACTTCGGATGTTCTCCGAGAGAAACAAAGCCCCTTGTGAGCTTTGTTTGCAATTTGTTACTGCCTTCCCGGTTGCTTCCACCTTGATCCACAGAAACTTGGCGTGCGCATGGGCGATGCTTATTTGACTCGCGTGACAAGGTTGAGCCAAGTCGGCATGTGTTCTTCACACCGCATCCCTAACTACCTTGCTCCTCAACTCCCAAAAGCCGTCCCTGAACCGCACAAGATTTCCCTGACCTGTAATGGGGGCGCAGGCGGACTCCTTGCGAAGGGGCTACCCTGCTGTTCCCTCTCCTACCGGTTTTGCGGCACTTTCGGGTTTGCGCAGCTCCAATTGTAAAAGCTATCTTTGGACGTATGTCTTAAAACTAACCAGGGCCCCTGAGCAATTAATCTCTTGTCCCTGATACTAAAACTCCCCAAATAAATCAACATAGGATTGGACTGGCACTTTCGTGTTTTTTGGCTGCTTACAATGCGTTCTTAATTGTGGTATAAATTTGAGAAACAATAAATTTGTGGTATTACTTTAGAAATCGCCCCCCTAACTACTTTATGACCGCCCAAATACATTTTTAACAATATATCTAACCTAGGAGGGACAGATGGGGACAGGGGACAGTGTCTATTAATTTTGAGGATGCATTGAATGTATCCCGCCTAGGAGGGGACAGCGTATTTTAAGACCAGGAGAAGTTTATATATTAGCACACCCTAGGTATTATGGGGGAATACCTACAGGACCCAATTGAAAAGGAGGGATGTATAAGCAATAGGATGGACAAGGTGGAAAAGTATGAGCCTATTTAAACCTATACCTTCCCCCATCGACCGAAGCAATCATTTTGTATATCGAGACCGATAAAGGTATAATTCGAAGGGGTGTTCTTTCTCCCCATACCACTTTTTTAGGGGTGGGCGATCTTTAGACGTCAAAAGAACGTAGACACTGCTTTTAAAAAAATGTTGCTGAAATAACTGCCAGATTTCTCTAGGTCACACACGACCTTCATTGAAAGCCTCCACGACCTCATTGCGCAGACTGTCACAATCAGAACTAATGTGTCTCAGATCGCAGCACATCTTGTGCCCCAGGAAGTCACCACAAGCACGAGCAAAATCGAGAACGTCCTCCTTAATTTTAAATCGAAGGACTACGGAGAACACGCAGTCGTGCTGCCCGTACGTCCCCATGGCATGGTAGCAGTGGGTGCGTGGCTTGTATGCACTGGATGACGAATTGAATCCAAACATCTCTGAGGTTGGGCGCAGGAGCTCGCAAATGCGCTCCACATCTGCCAGGCTGTCGGGCAACCCAGGCCACCGTTGCCATTGAGCCCAGTTTTCCATGATCTGGACTATTGCGGTGGAAATCGCCATTGCTGCACGAGGCGAAGAAGAAATGAAAGCACCACACCGTTGAAGCTTAAAGGTGGTTCAGAGAGTCTTGAATGCATTGGCTAAGTTTTGTAAAGTCCACGACCTCAAACCAAGTAATGTCGGCCCCAGTTCCAAGCATGATATGTTCCAACGTGTCCAATCGACCGCAATGCTTTTTTCACACGGTTATGCCAGCTCCTGCGTCATGAGGGCATCGCCCATTAGGCCGCCCACCCACACCCGCCCTTCAGGCGCCATCTCGTCCGAGTTACGCGGGATGAAGGGCACAGCTTTAACCGCCTTTGCAACGCTTGAACCAGAGGGAATTCAACACATGCTCGCTGCATCCCTGGCCTGGCAAAGGGCCTCCAATGTCTCATCGGAGACCCGAGCCACCGGTTCGGACAAGTAGATCACCGAGATGTGATCTCCGGACCGGCCGCACATCACCTCGATTGAGCGCCCAAAAGTGTCAAGAATGGTGCAAGTGACATAATGTTTGCCAGCCTTCGCTGCGTCCACCGGCAGCTCTGGTGGAAGAGCTGCTGCCCAGTTGAAATCGGACCGCAGCACCTGTCAAGCGCACGCATTTTTAACAAACAGATATGCTTGCTTTGACATCGCCTGCCTGAGGCATGAGGGCGATCTTCTCCACCACCTGCACCGCCAAATTCCTCATAAAGTACAGCGCCTGTAGCAGCACGGCGCGCACATCTGCCACGAGGTTATTGTCTGCTTATCTGTCCGCGCCTCCATCAGAGTCAGGGACTGTAGTTCTTGACCAAAAGCATCCCAACACCACTGCGACTCTGTCAGACCTGCATTCTTTATCATTCTTTCCAATAGTGGGTCCCGAGTGAAGTTGTGACGAGCGTTGCTTTGTGAGCAGCCAGCCGAATATGCTGCAGATTGCGCTGGCGATGGGCCAAAAGGACAGTGAGGAACAATGTTTCATGATAACCAACCCCCACGTGCTCCTCCACTGCAGTCGCAAAATTGCGGACAAAAGGAAAAGAAACCAGGAAGTGCCAGCTCTTGCCCTTGGTCCCGCCAGATGGAACATGCCAATGGACTGCATCAATGAAATGGCTCCAGTCACGTTCAAAATAAGCTTCACGGAACTGAACAAGAAACCTTTCAATGGCATCGGTGCTGTCTTCTTTTGTCAAATTTGCAGCATCTTGGCTGCAAACTCTGGAAACCAGGAAACCAGAAAATTTGTTGCTTTAGCAATATATATATATACGGCAAATGCCTGGGTTTTGCCCGGACCCGCAATGACGACAGGCGACGCATCATCATCATCATCATCACCACCATCATCATCATCAGAATTAAACCCTCATTGAAGATCTTCAATGAATGTAGAAGTTTAACGGGGCTGGGAGAATTAAACCCTCATTGAAGATCTTCGATGAATGTAGAAGTTTAACGGGGCTGGGAGGAATGAAACCCTCATTGAAGATCTTCAATGAATGTAGAAGTTTAACCGGGCTGGGGAGAATTAAACCCTCATTGAAGATCGTCAATGAATGTAGAAGTTTAACGGGGCTGGGAGAATTAAACCCTTATTGAAGATCGTCAATGGATGTAGAAGTTTAACGGGGCTGGGAGAATTAAACCCCCACTGAAGATCTTCCAATGAATGTAGAAGTTTAACGGGGCTGGGAGAATTAAACCCTTATTGAAGATCTTCAAGGAATGTAGAAGTTTAACGGGGCTGGGAGAATTAAACCCTCATTGAAGATCTTCAAGGAATGTAGAAGTTTAACGGGGCTGGGGAGAATTAAACCGTCATTGAAGATCGTCAATGAATGTAGAAGTTTAACGGGGCTGGGAGAATTAAACCCTCATTGAAGATCGTCAATGAATGTAGTAGTTTAACGAGGTTGAAAGAATTAAACCCTCATTGAAGATCTTCAATGAATGTAGAAGTTTAACGGGGCTGGGAGAATTAAACCCTTATTGAAGATCTTCAATGAATGTAGAAGTTTAACGGGGCTGGGGAGAATTAAACCCTCATTGAAGATCTTCGATGAATGTAGAAGTTTAACGGGGGTGGGAGAATTAAACCCTAATTGAAGATCTTCAATGAATGTAGAAGTTTAACGGGGCTGGGAGAATTAAACCCTCATTGAAGATCTTCAATGAATGTAGAAGTTTAACGGGGCTGGGAGAATTAAACCCTTATTGAAGATCTTCAATGAATGTAGAAGTTTAACGGGGCTGGGGAGAATTAAACCCTCATTGAAGATCGTCAATGAATGTAGAAGTTTAAAGGGGCTGGGAGAATTAAACCCTTATTGAAGATCTTCGATGAATGTAGAAGTTTAACGGGGCTGGGGAGAATTAAACCCTCATTGAAGATCGTCAATGAATGTAGAAGTTAAACGGGGCTGGGAGAATTAAACCCTTATTGAAGATCTTCAATGAATGTAGAAGTTTAACAGGGATGGGAGGAATTAAACCCTCATTAAAGATCTTCGATGAATGTAGAAGTTTAACCGGGCTGGGAGAATTAAACCCTTATTGAAGATCTTCAATGAATGTAGAAGTTTAACGGGGCTGGGTATATTAAACCCTCATTGAAGATCGTCAATGAATGTAGAAGTTTAACGGGGCTGGGAGGAATTAAACCCTCATTGAAGATCTTCAATGAATGTAGAAGTTTAACGGGGCTGGGGAGAATTAAACCCTCATTGAAGATCGTCAATGAATGTAGAAGTTAAACGGGGCTGGGAGAATTAAACCCTTATTGAAGATCTTCAATGAATGTAGAAGTTTAACAGGGATGGGAGGAATTAAACCCTCATTAAAGATCTTCGATGAATGTAGAAGTTTAACCGGGCTGGGAGAATTAAACCCTTATTGAAGATCGTCAATGAATGTAAAGTTTAACGGGGCTGGGAGAATTAAACCCTTCTTGAAGATCTTCAATGAATGTAGAAGTTTAACGGGGCTGGGAGAATTAAACCCTCATTGAAGATCTTCAAGGAATGTAGAAGTTTAACGGGGCTGGGGAGAATTAAACCCTTATTGAAGATCTTCAATGAATGTAGAAGTTTAACGTGCTGGGAGAATTAAACCCTCATTGAAGATCGTCAGTGAATGTAGAAGTTTAAAGGGGCTGAAAGAATTAAACCCTCATTGAAGATCGTCAATGAATGTAGAAGTTTAACGGGGCGAGGTAGTGTTCAGAGGGGGTCGCTGGGTTGATCTTCGAAGATGCAACATATATTCAAAGGGGGTGGCGGGGCTGATGTCTCAAGGTGCAACGTATTGTTCAGAGGGGGTTGGGGAGTTGATGGCTTGTGATGGTGAAGATGCAACATAGTTTTCAGAGGGGGTGCCAGGGCTACCGTCTCAGCTTGTCCGGTGGCTTCTCGGCTTCTCGGCTTCTCGGCTTGTCCGGTGGCTTCTCGGCTTCTCGGCTTGTCCGGTGGCTTCTCGGCTTCTCGGCTTCTCGGCTTGCCCGGCGGCTCCGGTGGCTTATCGGCTTCTCGGCTTGCCCGGCGGCTCCTCGGCTTCGCGGCTTCTCGGCTT